TAAAATAAAATAAAATAAATTGTTCTGTGTTTTTTGATAAAATATCTGAAGTGCTGAAGAGGACCAGAAGCCTCTGACTAAACACAGCCAGCTCTGAGGCTTGATGCTGTGCATAGATCCCCATGTCTGGCGTGACGGCAGAGCACAGCAGTGTTTACTGGGTGCTGGGGAAGGGGGGGAAGCCTGACAGATGGCTGCTGTGGCACAGCTCCTGCACCCCCTCTGGGCTTGCAAATGGCTGCTTTCATACCCAGGCTGTAAACAATCCTTGAAAGCCCAAGATCATGTGCTGAGGGTCATCCGGCCAAGCAGAGACAGCCAAGGAAGCTGCTCTGCTCTGGAGAACTGTCTCGCCTCATCCCTCCAGGTAACTGCGCTCACTGTGCCCCCTCCCAGGTCCTCTCCTCTCCCCCTGCCAGGTCCTACCTGCCCACTCCCTGTCCCCAATGATGACTCTGTCACAGAGCTCACACACACGATGACTCCGCTTGTTCTCGTTTACATCACACTCCATCTTCACAGGCTCTGCTGGGGGCTCACGTCCCTGGAGATTAAAAATATGTCTCAGATTGGTTTCTACTATGAAAATTCACTTGGCTGTGTTCACTCTGGTAGAGTTGGGGGCAGGAACTTGCCATGCACAGACACTAAGGTTGGCAGGACAGATGCTGAAGTTTTACTGTGCAAGACAAGTGGAGTACTGGGCATCAGGAGAAATTTTCAGCTTAGACAACAACCCTCTGCCACTGTGAGGAAAGCCCAAGCATAAGCAGACAACTCTGCTCAAGGGAGAGACTAAGTGACAAGTTATGGGGCCTGGAGACTACTGAGAAGTTGGCTTCTCAGCCACAGTTCATGTGTTAACTGCAGTTACCTGGATGAAGCTCTCCACAATCTCCAGAGCAGGTTTCAGCACATCCTCCTCCCACCGCAAGTGATCAGACACCTCCAAGCCATATACTGGGGGCACATTGGGCCCAGGACCTACAGAGACACAGAAAGGTCACCACCAGAACCTCCCCAGCATCACGTCCTAGCACCCACGGGGCTATGCTGTGAGCAGGGGGATCTGCTCTTTCCTATCTTGCTGTCCTTCATCATTCAGAACCAAATGGCACCAGCTTTTCCAGAGCCAAAACTACCAGAGACCTCAGCTTGGGGGGCACCACCCTCATAAACAGCAAAGAACACCTAAGACCTCAGGCAAACACCTTCACGACTGTCTGCCTTCAGGACAGCATCATAGCAGCATACACTTCATCACGGCCATGGTCCACAGGAGGCCACAGAAGATCAAAAGCTTGATCCAGGCACAAAGCCATCACACAAAGCTTACAAGCAGATGCAGGCGTGGAGTCTGGATGAGGAATCTGCGGGCGCAGGTTCCCCCTCAGAGCTGTAATTGCCTGTGTGGCTGTCGGGGCCAACACTCCCGGCTCACGGTAGCAGGACACGGCAGGAGATGCTTTACTGATGCCTCAACCTGACAAGGCACAGTTTCAAAGCCACCTCTTTGGCCTCCCCCAGCCCAGTGTGAGGGCACATGGTGCTCACTGCAGCCCAGCCGGGGTCAGGCAGCTGCAATCAGAGAGCACCCACTCCCTGCGGCGACGTCGCTGCCCTGCCACAGCTCACCTGCCCCAGACATCGGGCACACGGCCGTGGCTCGGACAAAGCCATCAAAGGCTGCCCCGTGCCAGTCTCCAGCAGGTGCTGCTTTTTATTGCTGTAACCACAAACAAGCTCCTGACAGGGCTGATCTGAAGCACACCTGCCACCAGAAAGGTGAGCCACAGCCACCGAGCACATGGCTCCAGCAAAGCTCTTGCCCTCCGTTCAAAGCCCGTCTTTTGACTCGAGTTTCTCCCCCCCTTTTTTTTTTTTTTCAAATTGTTGTTTTGCCCCTACCAAGCACCTTTCAACAAGTGCCTGGCTCCCAGCTGCTGCTGCTGGCCCTGCTCCAGGGCTGGGGCTGGGACGGGGAAGTCCTGCTGGCTCCTTGCCACCGCGGTGAGCGCGGTCCAGGCTATGAGCAGCCAATGGGTTCCTGCTCCTAATCTGGAGGGCAGCTGTCAACTGGGCTTCTTGCCCTGCACAGGGACCATGTGTGGGTGTGTGGGGAGAGGGATTGTGCTGGACACCCCCTTCCCGAGCCCCTCAGGAGCTGTCAGCAGGACAGGCTGCAGGGATGCTGCAGCCATCAACAACTACTGCTGCCCAGCACGGGGCTGAGCCTTTGCTTGCTTTGTTCTCCAGGCACTTCTGTTGGGAGGGGAAGATCTTCCTTTGAGAGGCAGCCAGGGGTACAGGGGAAGCAATGAGAAGGAGCTGGCTTCCTGAGAGTCTGGGCAGACAGGCTGTGGGCAAGATAAACATGGAGAGTGCTGGGTGGGCTGTCTCAGAAGGGCCGAGTAGCTGCTCTCCTTCCCACGTCTTTGGGTTGCAATCAGGGCAGAGCCTGGTGGGTGGATCCTGCAGGGATCTGGCCGGCAGCAGATACCTGCAGAGCCAGGGCAGCCTGGGCCAGCCAGAAGAACCCAGGCAGGATCATCTGATCTCTGACAGACTCACATCCCCAAAGCAGAGGAGCCACCGCTCTCCTCTCTTGAGCTGGGAGCAGGGAATGAGCAAAGGGATGAGAAGAGATGAGAGAACAGGGATGGTGAGGCCGGGCAGGAACAGAGGACTTACGTCTCAGGAAGCGGTTTCTGACCCACTTGTTCTGCCTCCGGGCGTATCTCTTGGTCACCTGTTTCAGGGCCTGGATCCCTTTGAAACAGAGGGAGTAAAAAATAAAAGCAAAGGTCAGTGCAACGCTGCAAGCTGAGCTCAGAGCAGAGCGAGAAGAGGCTGTCAGCTCCAGTGCAAGCAAATCACACAAGGCAGAAGTTTGTGCTGGATGGTACCACGTTCACTTTGGGAAGTATTTTGACTGTCAGTCTGGGGGTCTCCAAACCAGCAGTGAGAAGTGCTCATCATGGCAAAGCAGCCAAGCTCTGCCAGACAGAGCGCAGGGGCAGTGGCAGTGCAGAAGGACTGGACAAGGTGTCCCAAATGCCCTTGAATGAACACTGGATGGAGAGGGCCCAAAACCTCAGCCCTGAAGCTTTTAGCAGGTAGGACAATCTGTTCAGGAGCTACACTGCTCTCGTAACATCAAACTGAACAGTTCTCTGGGCAAATGGAGCCCAGGACTCCTTGTCCTACCCAAGGGGCCCAAAGGATGGTTTACCACTGTACAACCTTTCAATATTTAGTACCAGACTTATCTTATCCCTCCATAATCGTCTCCTGAGCAGACACAACAAGATCTTTCTGCACCAGACTTGTTTTCAAGCCTTTTATCATTTCTGTGGTTTCCTCAGCTTCCATCTCCACTTTTCACTGAACCTTCCTTGACACGGACCAACTCTGCCTGGGACCTCCACTGTGCTGAGGAGCAGAGCAGCTCTCTCCTCTGACAACAGCACATCAATCCAGACACTCCCAGGATGATACATGCCATCAAAGATCCTGTCATTATTGACCCATGCTGTGATCTGCTAGATCCCCAGATCCCTTCCCACCACCCTGCTGCTGAACCAGGTGCTGAGTTCTGCTTCATTGCTTCTTTCTAGCCCTCTTCTCCACAGCATTCACTTCCCAGCTGGGATCCCATCACCCAGGTCACGGGTGGACCAGCTCCAGATCCCAAGTCACGCTGTGCCCAGTATATCTTGTAAGAAGGGAGGAATTGCTCTGGGTGTGCTCAGAGATGCTCTCCAAGCACTGAAAAAGGAGTCCCTGCCCCTGTGGGCTGGCAGAAGTGGAAAACACAGAGAGAAAGATGCAGCTCAATCCCAACAAGACCTGACCCAAGGTTTGATCTTGGTTCACATCATTCTTGCAGCATCACCTGGAGCTGAGGGACACAGGGTGCTCCTCTCACCTTTTTGCAGCAGCAGAGCACTGGTCTCAGGCGAGCAATTCCCCTCACTGATGAGGTACTCGTGGAACTCCTTGAAACCAATGGACTGGAAGATGCCGTGCTGGTAATCCTGCCTGGAGAACAAGACAAGAGACAGTGGTCAAAGCAGTCTCCTTCAGAACAGTGTGAGACCTCAACCCTCCCCAAAATAGCTCAGATCTCTGTGTCTCACCCTGCAGGACCCCCACAGGTGACAAAAGCCCATGGTGTTGGGGGACAAGCCAAGCCAGGCACACACAGGAATGCAGACTGGTGCTTTCAGTGACCATCCATCAGTTTTGCTGTGTCAAGACTCAGGCAGAACCAAGTAATTTCTACTGAGGGAAAGTGTCACCCCTTGGCAGGTATGGTCCAGGCAGGACTAATTCAATACTAAGACCCACAGAGACTCTGCTGTTTGACCAACTCTGGTGTAAGGGTTCTGGCAGGGAAGGTCAGGAAGAGGTGGAGGATCTGGCTGGTTCAGACCTCTCCACTGATGGTGCCCCAAAGAGACAGACACCCATCCCATCTGCTGGCCCTGCTGCAGGAGCAGGTGCTGCCAGGAGAGGGCTGGGAGCAGGGATAGAGCAGAGCTGCTGCAGGGAGAGTCACTCCAGGCCCTGCATGGGTCTGGTAGGTGGGACTGGGAGCAGAAAGGGAGCTGGCTTCTCACCCACCGGTTCTCGGCCACCTTCTCTTGGTTGTAGCGTCGGTGGAAGTCCCGCAGCTCCTCCAGCAGTCCTGCAGCCAGCATGTCATCCACTCGCTTCTCCAGCCGCTGGTCCAGAGCTGGGAGGAGGAGAGCAGGACATGCTCAGCTGCTCAGAGCTGTGCCCTCAGGAAGGTCCACAACTGGACAACATGGTAGGACTCAGTTTGGCACTGCCAGCCTCCTGATCAGTGAGGAAGGCAGAGCCCAGCAGGTGAGGGGAGTGAGTCCTCTGTCCCTCCCACTGATGCCAAAAGAATCGCTGCCTTGTTCAGGGAGGAGGCTGGGGCAGGAGCAGGGAGTCAGCCCTAACCCCGTCCCCATGGAGCTATGCAAAGTCCTCTCTCACCTGCCTGGTCTGCATGGAGCCATAAGATGCAGGATCGTGGGTATTTCAGGGGCCCCCCTAAGGGTCCCCCACCTTCCTCCTCCTGCTGCTGGTGCAAGATTTCACTATGGGGGATCCCCGTCTCTTCAAACACTTGGAGGCTCCTGTAAGCAGAGACAGACAGAGCTCAGAGGCTGG